AGACAGACAGACGGACAGGGCCAAATCAACTCAACTCGTCGCCCTGATCAAGAATATATATACTTTGTGGGGTCTGCCACGCCTCCTTCTGCCTGCTAAAAAAAAAAAAACCTTGCACAGGAATATGTAGCCACTAGCAAAAATCAACCGACCGCAGTTATGTAAAAATTTAATAAAAACAACTAAATGTAAAAAATAGGCAAATTTGCAGATCCTAGATCCTAGAAAAACTGTGCAAAGAAGACCGTACAGACTTAGTCCAAATGAAAGAGAGTTGGTATGAGACAAAAGTAGAGAGTTACTGGAATACAAAGTTATCAGACCAAGTTGCTCACCATTTGCAAGTCCTATGATGTTAGTAAACAAAAAGATGGCTCCCATCGACTGTGCGTCGATTACCGCGAATTAAATGCTAATACAGTTTCAGATAGATACCCCTTGCCCCTCATAGCAGATCAGATTGCAAGACTTCATGGAGCGAATTATTTCACATGTTTAGATATGGCAAGCGGATATTACCAAATCCCTATGCATGAAGATTCGATCGAGTKTACAGCTTTTGTCACCCCTGATGGCCAGTACCATTATTTGTCAATGCCGTTTGGTCTTAAAAACGCACCTTCAGTCTTTCAGCGTACAGTGATGCAAACACTTGGAGAACTTGCAAATACATTTGTTGTAGTTTATATGGACGACGTATTAATTGTGGGTGCAACGATATGTGAAGCCTTGGAAAGACTCTGGATCTTCTTACCAAAGCCGGGGTTTCGTTCAATATTAAAAAGTGTTCCTTCTTGAAGTCGACAGTTCAATATTTAGCATATGAAGTAATCACAGGCCAAATACGTCTGAATCCACTTAAAACCTCAACACTAACTGCTCTACCACCTCCTAAGTCGGTTTCGGCCTTAAGACAATTTATCGGATTGGCATCATATTTTTGGCAATTCAAACAAGGATTTTTCGTGTTTGATAAAGCCATTATATATTTTGACGTCGGAAAAGAAYGAGTTTGTCTGGAAGCCAGAACATGAACAAATAAGAGAAAAATTTGTTTCTCTGCTTATACAGAAGCCAGTCTTAGTAATCTTTGACCCCCAATACCCAATTGAGTTGCATACGGATGCAAGTGCTCTAGGATACGAAGCCATTCTATTACATAGAATCAACAATAAGCCTCATGTCGTTRAGTTTTTCAGTAAGGCAACTTCACCTGCTGAGTCACAATACCATTCTTACGAATTAGAAACTCTTGCGGTTGTCATGGCTATAAAGCATTTCCGACATTATTTGACGGGCAGAGAGTTCGTCGTTCTTACTGATTGTAATTCACTCAAAGCATCAAGAACTAAACGCGACATATCTCCCAGAGCACAAAGGTGGTGGGCATATTTACAAACGTTCACGTTTGATTTGCAGTATAGAGAGGGCAAGAGAAAGGCTCATGCCGACTTCTTTTCGAGAAATCTTCCATCCACTAATGCGATTAATATTTACAAGATCCAGAAAAAGCGAGTTAATCTTTCAGAAATATCTAGTGATTGGCTAATGGCTGAACAGCGCAAAGATGCTGATATCAGTAATATCCTGAAAGAGTTGAAAGAGAATTCCTTGCCCGAGGACTTGATAAAAACTTATGAGTTAAGAGGGGGAATATTATATCGTAAAATCCAGATAAATGGTAGAACTCTATCCTTGCCAATTATCCCAAGAGCGTTCAGATGGTCTGTAATAAATCAGATTGTGAGGAGCAATATAGGTATGCACGTATTTATGTATATGAACGTACGTTTTTGCTGTGCGTTTATATGCATATACGTGCATATACATGTTGCTC